GAGAGAAAGAAAGAAAGAAAGAAAGAAAGAAAGAAAGAAAGAAAGAAAGAAAGAAAGAAAGAAAGAGAAAGAAAAGAAAGAAAGTGAAAAAGCAAGCCACCAAGTCCGGGACTTGAACTGTGGTCAGCCATGTGGGGCTGTCTAGTGCCTTAACTGCCATGCCACCTGCTGGTACAAAGATTTCCTTGAGTAGATGCGTCTTCATTTGTTGTTTGCGCTTCAGATTTTTTCCAGAAGGTTTTTCAATTTCTTTTTTTTTTTAGACATGTTTTTTTTCTTGGAGAGGTTTTTGCTATAGGGTGCGTGCGCTTGCCAGAAAGACAGTGAGAGAGAGACAGAAAGTGAGAAATCACTCCCCAGGGAGGGATGGCCATGCTGCAATCCCTTCTCCTCCATTCTCCTCTCGGGATCTTGGGCACACACACACGTGCGCCTGGCATGAGTTTAAGCCACGGGGTCTGGGACTCGAACCATGGTCAACTACGTAAGAGTCCAGCAACATAGCCATTACACCAACTGCTGGTCCCGTTTTTTTAGATTTTTGCCATACAACATGTATGCTCACCAGAGTGAGACACAGAGAGAGAGGGGAAGTGAGAAATTACCCCCCAGAGGTAGGCACACCACAATCTGTAATCCTCCATTCTCCTCTCAGGATTTTGGGCACGCGCACATACTCATCCAGCATGTTTTTCAGATCACTAGGGTCCGGAATCGCCAACTTAGCCATGTGGGATCCAGCACCTTAACTACCACGCTACCTGCTGGCCCCATAATTTTTTTTTAATGAATCTTTTTCTTAAATTTGCTACAAGGTGTGTGCGTTCTCTGGAGAGAGACACACAGAGTGGGAAAGTGAGTAAACACCTCCCAGTGAGGCTAACTACACTGCAATCCTTTCTCCTCCATTCTCCTTTTAGGATCTGGGCACACGCATGCACATGCTCAGTGTGTTTCTCAAGCACCAGGTCTGGGATTCAACAGCACAGTCGGCCATGTGAGATCCAACCGCCTTAACCACCACATCACCTATTTAGCTGGCCCTTAAATTAATTTTCACCCATGTTGTAGGGGGTCATTGGCCCTCATGCTGTCATTCTAGAAGTGGATCCTGTCTGAGGTTGCTTCTGTGTGACCGTGGTAGAGTTGAAAGTTGAGTCGTTCCTCCAGAGCCCTCTTGCCCACTAAGTTGAAAATATTGACTACCCGGCTTGGTACAGAAAAAGGTAACCAACCATTGACTTAAGTTACAGCAGTCATTGCTGCTGGTCCACAAAGCACGCTTTGAGTAGCAAGAACCTAAATTCGTTGAGAAGCAGTACTGTATTGGCTAGGAGCTTGGTCTGAACCCCATTTTGCCATTTACTATTAGATACATGGTTTTGGGGTCATTGGGTTGTTGTATTAAGTGTCCAAATGCCTAGCGCTTAGAAACTATTCAACGAATGATCGCTGTGAGCATCGTGTTGGAAAGTGTATGACACCATCTCTTTCCTTAAAGAGTTTTTTCCAGAATATGTAAGCTTTGGAAAAGAGACAAGTAAAGCCTTTCTAACAAACAAGGTGCAATTTTTAAATATCTGGGTACATAACAATGTTACCAAGTGAATTTAAAAAAACTTCCTAGAGTTTAAACTTAAGACAGACACGGAGGACTAAAATTTGCTACTACAGGAAGCTTTCAGTCTCTGCCAACAACAATGAATGAAAACCTTCAGTAAGTGTTAAACCCAAAAACCCTATGGGAAAAAAAGCAGGATTTGGGCCTACATGACCCCTCGCGGTTCAGTCGGTCTCTACTTATACCCAGATGATGTAAACAGAACTCCTCAGGCTTCCACCTCGACTGTCACCCAGGTCGGTGCCCGACGCGCGCCAGGGCTCCTCTAGCTGTCGCCCGTCGGGGCTGCGGCCGGTTACCTCGCAATTGAACTCCATCTCGGCGTCCATGGTGACGATCCGCACGGTGAACGTCTTGGGCTGCTTCCTCTTGAGCGAGCTGAAGCTCATGCGGGAAGCGATGGCCCCGGCCATGGCGCGGGGCTAAGGCCCGGGACCCTCCCGCCCTAGGCCTGTACTCTGGGCCTGTTAGCCCCCCTGGAGGAGCTGCTCAGGCCCCAGGGCCACCATGGTGGCGGGTCGGCCGGCTCGGGAGCGATCTGGGCGGCGCGGGTCCCCAGCGACCAGCATGGGCCGCTAGGACCCTGCCCCAGAAGCGTAAAGAGGGATTGGGGTGCTGGCTCGATGGCAATGGGAAGGGGATGCGAGCCTGGACCGACGGGGCGGGCGCGGCCCGGCGCTAAAGAACACGCGCCCGGGAGGCCAGGGACTATCCCGGACGGGAACCCTAGACGGCGGCGGCCCAGACCCGGCGCGCGTCTCAGCGGCCGAGGGGGTCGCGGGGCCGCGCTGATCAGGGCGCGCACGCGCGCGCGTGGCTGTCACCGTCCTCGCTCCGCGTGCCCGCAGAAGAGTCTCCTCCCGCAGCCCCCGGCCTGCTCCCGGCCCCGCCCTCGGGCTGCCCGGGCCACTACACACGGCGCTACCTAACACGACGGCTGCCTGCTGGACGTTGCGATTGGCTGTGAACACCAATGAGGCGGGACTTTTACGCTACGTCCCGCCTTCCTCAGGGAGACTCTACCAATTGAAAGTTCCGCTCTTACTGGAGGCGCGGGCCTGTGCTTGGCACTGAATGGCTTTAAGGGAGGTCACTCCGAGTGCTTTTGTTCGAAGGGGATACGCCTACTCCAGAAAGACTGGTTGAGGCGACAGAGTCCCGTGCGGCTTTCCCAGGAAAGCACTTTAGGAGGCAGGTACGCGGCTGGCAGTTGGGTCCCTCCCTTGTCCTTTTGAACCAGGTGCGCGCAGAACGTGGGGCCTCAGGAATCGCACTCGCGACACCCGGCGGATATTCCTGTTTGGTACTTAATCAATTACATATAATGACTTCTATGTTTCTCAAACTTCTAAAACACTTGCGGAGGCCTATTAAGTTGCCGGCACTCTCCCGCCAGATCCTTCTACTTGTCTGTAGGAGAAATAGTATTAGCGAAGAGGATTGTTGAGCAATATAAGGGATTAAAAAAAAAATTACTACAGGGCGCATGCGAGATGTAGGAAGAGAGGAAAAGAGAAGGCACCTCCCAGGGGTGGCCCCAACAGCAGTCCCTTCGCCGTCCTCTCTGGATTGGGGGCGGGTACTTTGCCCACGCACTCAGTCATGTGGAATCCAGCCGCCTTAACCATCGCCACTGGCTGGCCCCCAGATTCTATTTTTAAATAGCTCTTAGTAGAGCTGGGTTGGTGGCAGGGAATCTGTAGTTCTTCCAATGCTAGGGGGGCTGAGGCACCAGGAGACTATGAAAAAAAAACAAACCTTGGCCACCATGTAGGCTACTGGTTAAAAGAGATTCAGATCCCACATGGCTAACTATGATTGAATCTGGGCCTTAGCCGCTTGAAATACATGCCAAGTGTGTGTGCATAGGTGCTCAAAATCCTGAGAAATAAAGGAGAAAGGCCGGTGGAGTGGCCATGCCCCACTAGGGGGTACTTTTTCTCTCTCTCTGTTGCTCTGCCTCCTCTGGCCAGTGCACATGCTCTCTGACAATTAAAATTTTTGTTTGCAAAATTTTTGGTACAGGGTGCCTGTACTGGCCTCAGAGACAGAAGGTGAGACCTCCCCTCCCCACCCCCCCACCCCCATGCTCCAGGGTGGGATGGCTATGCTGCGGTCCCTTCTCCATTCTCCTCTCGGGATTTTGGGCACCCACAGGTCCCCAGCATGAGTTTTAAGCCTCCAGGTCTGTAACTCAAACCAACATCGGCCATGTGGGTATACATTGCCTTATTCCCGAGGTCACCTACTGCCTCCCAATTTTTTTTTTTTAATAGAAACCTTTAAAAAGCTCTTGGTGAGTGAATAGGAAGAATTTTGTGTGTTTGAACTGAACTGTAAGCACTCTGTAAGCAGTAAGCACCGTTAACCCTTCCCTCATTCCATGGATGAGGAAACCAAGAAATAGTATGATAGAGCCAGAGCCACTCGTCTGTCAGTGAGAGGCGAAGCTAGGACTCAAACCCAGGTCTGTGCCGCCCAGAGCCTCTGGTATTACCACTTTCCTGGCCTTCTTCCCTGGATGAGGTTAGGAATTCGCTCTATTGAAGCCTCAAGAAATGTCAATTATCGTTCTGGAACACTCACCAGACACTGTTGCCATAACTGTAGGAGGAGCATAAATCTAGCTCCTCTTCCCAGGCCCCTGCAGTGCCAGGAAGCGCCAGCCAGGCCTCAGGAATCATTTGCTGGTGCTCCCAGCACTGGGGAAACTTTATGTCCTGCACACTGCTAGCAAATTCTCCCCCACCAAACTGTCCAGAACAGTATGGAGACCCTGCAGGTGGGCAAACCAGAGGCTCTCTGGACTCCCCACGAGGCCAACAAATTAGCCCTTTAACCCAGCCAGGGTCAAGGCTGCTCATGGAAAATAAGTGACTCTGGAAACCCCACTGAGGAATAGGGAAAGGAAGTAGATGAGACAGCAGGGGCTAAAAAATAACACTGATGATCAGTTGTAGCTCATTTTTATGGAAGACTTACTAAGTGCTAGGCACTGAGCTAATTGGGCAAACACGTCAAATTGAAAGTTCCTGGGAGGCCATCCAGGTAGATATGTGTGCCTGGGTCGCAGGAGGGAGGTCACAGCTGGGAATAAAGCTAGATATAATAGAATATGATGTTGGTACTAAAAGCGTCATTCACAAAGAATAAATAAGCACAGACGATAACGGTACCTGCCAGGTAAGGGCTTGAGGAAGAATAATTCAGGTAGAGCTCGTTAAGGCCTGGCACACAGACACTAGTTAATAAATATCCGTTGAATGAATAAGTGAAGGACATGAGGAAGTGCTTATAGTCTTAGCTACAGTCTTGAAAACATTAATAACGACCATATATTGATTGCTTACCATACAAGGCACTCTCCAAAGTGTTTTCATGCTTTATTTCTTTTGATATCTTTTTTTTTTTTTTTGGAGAGGTTTTTGCTATAGGGCACATGCACTCGCCAGAAAGACAGAGACAGAGAAATAGAAAGCAAGAAATCATCCCCCAGGGGAGATGGCTATGCCACAATTCCTTTTCCTCCATTCTCTTTTCAGGATCTTGGGCACACATTTGGCGTGAGTTTGAAGCTGCCAGGTCCAGGATGAAAACCATGGTCGACTATATGAGAGTCCAGCGATGTAACCATTACACTATCTGCTGGTCCCAATTTTTTAAAAAAAATTTGCTATAAGCTACATGTGCTTGAAAGAAAGAGAAAAAGTGAGAAAGCGCCCCTGAGGGGAGATGGCTATGCTGCAGTTCTGTCTCCATTCTCCTCTCAAGATTTTGGGCATGTACACACATGTGCCTGGAGTGTTTCCCAAGCAGCTGCGTCCTGGACTTCAGGGACAATCAGCCATTTGAGATCTGGCCTCCTTAGCCACCTTGCCAGCTGGTGGCCCTTGTTTTTTAGGTTACTACTTTAATTTTTTTTTAATAACAAAGCAGTTTTACATATATAATTTATAAACTATTATTCTTAAAAGTTGCAAACATAGGACCCAGCAGATGGTGTAATGGTTACATTGCTGGACTCCCACATAGTTGACTACAGTTCGAGTCCTGGACTCAGCAGCTTAAAACTCATGTCAGGAACATGTGCATGTGTGCTCAAGATCCCGAGAGGAGAAAGGAGGAGAAGGGACTGTGGTATGGCCATCACCCTGGGAGTGATTTCTCACTTTCTATCTCTCCAGTGAGCACAAGCTCCCTATAGCAAAATCTCTCTTAAAAATACAAACGAACAAAAAAAAAAACCTTTGATTAAACATATATTACTTAAACTTAAAAAAAAAAAAAAAAGTTGCAAAAACAGGGCCAGCAGGTGGTGTGGTAGTTGGGGTGCTGGACTCTCACATGGCCTCCCCTGGTTCAAGTCCCAGACCTGGCTGCTTGCTTTCTTACTTTCTCTCTGTCTCTCTCTGCCTCTCTCTGGTGAGTGTACATGCCCTGTAGCTAATTAAGATATTAATAATAATGATAAATAAAATTAAGAATAAATCTTTAAAAATTCATTAAAAAGTTGTAAAAATAGTTATTTCCCTATATCCTTCACTCAGCTTTCTCTAATGTTAACATCTTAATTATAGTATAATGATCAGGATATAATGATCAAAATCAAGAAGTTAACATTCAAGGTTCAGCTGGTGACGGGATAGTTAAGGCATTGGACTCCCACATGGCCAACCGTGGTTCAAGTCCTGGACCTGGTGGCTTACTTCTTCACTTTCCTTTTCTCACTGGTAAAATTTAAATGAATAATTTTAAAAAGAAAAAGAAATTAACATTTATATTCTACTATTCACTAAACATTCAGATTTCATCATTTTTTCCCACTATTGTCCTTTTTCTGTTCCAGAATCCTCTCCAGGATCCCCCCATACCATCTGATTATCTCTCCTTAGTCTCCTGCAGTTTCTCCTTGTTTTTCGTGACTGTGACCTTTTTTTTTAGATTGTTTTCGCTATAGTGTGCTAACAATTGCCCGAGAGAGGCAGAGAAAGACACAGAGAGAGGGAAAGTAATGTATCACCCTCCAGGGGGATGGCCACACTGAAATCCCTTTTCCTCTTTTTTAATAGAATTATTTTACTTAACTTTATTTATTTTAATTTGATCAGAGCGGGACAGAGGAAGAGAGAAAGAGAGGGAAAGCGAGAAAGCAAGCCGCCAGGTCCAGGACTCAAAGCAATGTTGGCCATGGGGCCGGCAGGTGGCATGGTGGTTAAGGGCACTGCACTCCCACATGGCTGACCACGGTTCGAGTTCCATAAGTGGTGTCTTGATTTCTCACTTTCTCTCTCATGCTGTCCCTTTATGGTCACATTAAAATAAATAAAGTTAAATAAAATAATTAAAAAAAAAACACTGTTGGCCATATGAGATAAGCGTGTGCATGTGCTTGCAGGTGTAAGACAAAGAGAAACAGAGAAGATGGGGAGAGACAGGGAAGCGCCTCATAACAGAGCACAGTCACACCATAAACAGTTTCCTCTTCGTCTCCATCCTGTCAGGATCTGGGGCACACGCCACATGCTAGGTCACGTGGTATTCAGAAACCCTGCCCTGTGCTTAACGATCACATGACGGGTCTGATCCAGACCTTGACACTTTTAAACAATATTTTCCAGTGAACCAGCCCATGGCTCGGTTATTAATATGGCTCTATCCTACATAGTTGACCTGCGGTTCAAGTCCCGAACCAGGCAACTTGAAAAACACACCAGGCATGTGTGAGTGTGTGCCCCAAATGTCGAAAGGCGAGAGGAATGGAGAGGGGATTGCAGTGTGACCCAGCACCATGGGGGGTACTTGTCATTACCCACTTCTCTCCTGTAAATGCATGAGCCCTCAGAAAAATTTATATGTGTGTGTGTTTGTGCAAATATACACATTTA